TTTATTTTACTTCATCTTCTACTGGACATTTATATTAAAGGTCACCTATCATGCTATTTTTAGGCAATAGCATAGGTCTCAGATATATAAAAATATGAAGTGTTTTGCTCCAAATACCAAACAGATCATCCATTCTAGCCATGCCTCATACCCCTCTATTTCACTTCCTGTTTCTAAATTGCTGATTTGCGGTATAAAGCTTTAAAAAATAAAAAATTGATACAAAATAAAAAAGGAGGGGGCTGAGCTCATGCGGGACCCGGCAGCTACTGTCTAAACTAAATGCTGCCGTGATGAAACTCCATATCATGGATTATCAAGGATTATCTCTGAAACAGTATGGAGCTCAAAGGCTTTCTCTCTTGCCGGTTATACCACAAGGTGAGTTCCTTTTTATTTCCTGCTTCTTCACACACATGCTCTCCAGTACAGGTTAGCTCTGAGTGTTAGCGATGCTAATGTAAACACCGACCATATTACGTCCAAAACAGTCGGGCATTGTTTCTGATAGCAACTTTCTGATAGTGCCGTGGGTCCACATTTCAGATATTACGTCATATGGGACGCAAATCTGGATTAGCTCCGTTGTACCCCCATTTTTAGAGTTTGGGTACGGAGGAGAAGAGAGAGGGTTTTATTTTCTGATGCTGCGTGAGTTCCCTGACACACCGGGGACACATCTTTATGTATGAAAAGACATCAAAAAGTGCATTTTGCATGATAGGTCCCCTTTAACTTCTTAACTTAAAATACATATTTTAATGCTATTTAATTGTTTTATTGGAAATGTTTCTTTACCTTCTTATGTGTAGATACATATTTATTTTAAAGTTTAATTTATTGAATTATTTTTTTAACTTCTCATGTTAATATAATTTATTTTATTTGATCTGATCTTTTATTGGACATTTTATTCTTACTTTTCATGTTATTCTAAACATTTTTCTTCATATTTTTTCAAACCCCAAATTCTTACTTTATCTCCTCATGTTTATATAAATATTGAAAAACACAAGTAAATACATTTACCTTGCAACTGTCTCAAAACACAATTTATTTCGGGACAAATAAATGTTTCTGATTCGGATTAATCTATTAAAACACGTCATAGTTAATTTATATTTTGTTTTAACAATTACCTGCAGAGTTCATTTGCAAGTTATAAGGAATTGTTATCAAATATTGCACATACCTTGTCTTGAGAGAAGTCTGAAAAATCAACATCGTCTTGAAGCAGTTCCTGTTTCCACTGATCAGACGTCTGAATGGTAATTCAAAGCTGTAATGTATATTTATTTTAAACCTGTGCATCACTTAAACAGACCGAAACATGGCCCCCACTTGTGAAACATTCCTTTATTATAAATAGATCATTTGTATAAAAAACGGGCATGCTTCAATTCAACCATGGCATTTAGACATTTCACAACCAAAAGCTACCGTCCAGTTTTCCGGAAACATCGACGGACTCTTCTCATAATGCAGGTCGACGGACGCACGACAGGAGACAAGAATCAGAAATGTTCACAACCACAAGTTTTTTCACTTTTTTTTTTGAACGCACAATTAGAATAACAACAATTATGTTTGGTCCCCACAATTACTTTTTTGTACTTCTTTTAGGATTTCTTTTTTTTGGGCTTTCAGGTAACCCTCCTTCTTACTTCCTGGCGAAAACTCTGATGCTTTTTCAGCTTTTCATCCTAACGAGTTTTCGTGCGGTGTTCAGGCCCGTTCCCTGCAGTCTGTAAACATAAAATGACCACAGATGTCTTGGTTTGTTTGGTTCCTTCAGAGTGTTCAGAGCACCTCGTGGTGACAGAAATCTGCTTCTTTAAAAGTCCCGAGACGTCCTCGAGTTGAAGGAGTCGTTGATTCACATGGCGTGGTTGGTGTAGCTAACGTAGGTTGTTTTTGCTGGCGGCGCTGAGGAGAGAAAAGCAAACTAATTAGTAAAGTGAAATGTTCCCTTACCTGTCCCCTGTGTGTTAGACTGGGTTCAGAAGGCTATTTTTGATCAGAGGAAGACAACAAATGAATAGAGAGTTTCAGGGAAGACATCTTTTTGTAGTTCAACCCAGAAGTTAGCATTGCATCGGCTCCCTTTCCTGGATTTCTGGATTTGATTTTGGCTTATAGCTAAATATACCATTTTATGATACTCTTACGTTTTGTTCAGCAGGATAATCTCCACAAATTAACACCACTTTATGATTTCTGAAGGAAAAAGCTAACGTTAGGCTACAGTATAAAGGAACTACAGCACGGTCACATGACTTCACGTCACCTCTTCTAAGCTAAAGGTGGCTAATGTTGGACTATAAAGGAACTACAGTAAGGTCACATGACTTCACGTCACCTCCGCTAAGCTAAAGGTGGCTAATGTTGGGCTATAAAGGAACTACAGTACGGTCACATGACTTCACGTCACCTCCACTAAGCTAAGGGTGGCTAATGTTGGGCTATAAAGGAACTACAGCACGGTCACATGACTTCACGTCACCTCTTCTAAGCTAAAGGTGGCTAATGTTGGGCTATAAAGGAACTACAGCGCGGTCACATGACTTCACGTCACCTCCGCTAAGCTAAAGGTGGCTAATGTTGGGCTATAAAGGAACTACAACGCGGTCACATGACTTCACGTTACCTCCGCTAAGCTAAAGGAGGCTAATGTTGGGCTATAAAGGAACTACAGCAAGGTCACATGACTTCACATCACCACCGCTAAGCTAAAGGCAGCTAATGTTGGGCTATAAAGGAACTACAGCACGGTCACATGACTTCACATCACCACCGCTAAGCTAAAGGCAGCTAATGTTGGGCTATAAAGGAACTACAACACAGTCACATGACTTCCCGTCACCACCGCTAAGCTAAAGGTGGCTAATGTTGGGCTATAAAGGAACTACAGCACGGTCACATGACTTCATGTCACCACCGCTAAGCTAAAGGCAGCTAATGTTGGGCTATAAAGGAACTACAACACGGTCACATGACTTCCCGTCACCACCGCTAGGCTAAAGGCGGCTAACGTTGGGCGTGATGACATTTAGTCGTTTCATTAACACTTGTTAGCAACCGCCATTTAAAGAAAAATGTGGGAGCTTCAGAAATAAACCAGTCGGGTATTGTAGTAAAAAATAGAAACCGTGAAGATCTCTTCAGTTCTTTTTCAGGCATCTTACCAAAAAACACATTCAAGAAACCATTGACTTCCATACTTCCAGCGTATCCAAAAGCGCTAAAATGCTAACTTATTACGGGTTTCATTCTTGCACCACTCTCGACTCACTCACTATTATAAAGAGCAGATCTGCTATGCAGCAAAACGTCCATTAGCGTTAACGATTCGTAAAAGGTGTCTCGCCACCCTATTTCCATTTTAGCTCCACTAATGGTAAGGCTCTTAGAATAACTCATCATGAGGATGTTTGACGTTTCTGTAAAGCTGGGCATACACTTAGCCCCAGACTAATTTTAGGATCAGGACATATTTCTGTCAGATCGATTGATATCTGATGTTAACTTCGAGGTGAAACTCAACACCAAATGTATCGTCCTGGCCCAACTTCAATGGTTCTTTTGTTGGATAATATGGGAGATTTCTGGCATGTCAGACATTAGTTGATATAGTTTGACAAAAGTATGATGGGTGGAGCTACAGGAAAGGTAAGTTTGACGAGCAAAATAGGATTTATCCTCTGGGGATCATGCATATTTAACGGGATTTAATGTTCAGGGGTAAAAAAGCAAACCACTTTTAAGGATATTTTGCGCTTGATGTCTCCGCATTTAATACTCAATAACAAAACTGTTTGGTTAGATTTAGGAAACAAATATGTAAAATAACATGTTCGTAAATTATCGTGTTCATAAATAAGTCAACCGTTGACAATTGGTCTCAAATAGGACACAAACTATGTTGAGTTTCTCGCAAGTTTAACTATGTCGTCTAATTTTCACATTAATGTTCATATTATCATCAGCTGTTGAGATGTGTTGGAGCAAATGAGTCATACAAGTTTGTCGGTTTCATCAGATGTAGTTTTTCAGCACCTAAACTCTGTGACTTCCTCGCCTCACACTGAACAGGACGTAAGAGGATCAGGAAACTTGTCTGTTGTGTAAAGTTGAGACGGGGAAGCTTGATGTGAGAGCGGCTGCTTGTTAGATTGAGCAGATCAGTTCAGTCAGCACTTCTCTGACGGGTAAACAATCCGGACGCCTCACACTTTTCTGCTGATGGGCCGAGAGCTTTGATGTGCAACTCAGAGCTGTAAACAGTTTCATCAGATCTGGTCTCAGGTGACGTCTAAACAAACTCAAGTCAACTTCCTGTTAAAGCCTCATTACTGCCGAGAGGCTGACTACACCTCTAAGATTGACTAAACAGAGAACTGACACACTTCTTCTACTTCCAAACTAAATAATTAACGGTTTTCACTATCGTAAGTCTATTTGATTCATCGGTACCTGCCGCTTCATTGTAAATGGTTGTACGGTAGTATAAAGAGGCAAAGCCGCATTAACTGTAGGTAAATCTTTTTAGGAAGAGTTATGGCAGGGTTTCTGTCAGCAGGTACTTTGAACGGAAAAGTCCGGCAAATTAAAGTCTCTTCAGTCATATTGTCAGAAAAAAATTATTTTGTCGTAATCACAATTTAAAGTGTATTTGAAATAGCATTTTAGTTCCCTTATCTGGGAACCGGAAGTTAAGTCAATGGAGATTTCTATTTTTAAACATAAAATATGTCAGTAAATATTTAAAAACAGGCGGTTTCTAAGAAGTGTCTAAATGAGAGGACTAAGCGTTATCATGCCCAACGTTAGCCGCTTTTAGCTTAGCGGACGTGACGTCATGCGACCGTGCTGTAGTTCCCTTACGGCCCGTCCACACTACAGCTTCGACAGCTTCAAAAACGGTTTCCAACGCGTCTGCCCATTCACTTTGAATGGGGTGACGTCACGTTGCCTCGCTTTTCGCCGAACTGAATTGTGGGTAGCAGAGCGGAGCTTTCCTGGCGTTTCAGGCTGCAAAAGTTGAGCAATGTTCAACTTTTGAAGCTTCTGAAGCTTTCGGTGGAAGCGTCAGCCAATCAAATCATATGCCAGTACAAGCTCTAGCCAATCAAACCGCTGCTTGTGTGTCAGGGGCGGGAGATTCATGTGATTGGTTGTTGGTCGAGCTTCAGACACGCCCGCCGGCAAGCTTTTTTTGAAGCTGTAGTGTGGACGGGACGTTACTGTATAGCCCAGCATTAGCAATAATCCGAAAACCAATGGAAAAATCCCATTGACTTCCTCTCCAGGGAACCAGAGAGACTTCCGGGTCGGCTTAAAAATAACTCACCGACCTACTCACTTATTGTTTAATACTGTATGTCACTAGTGCTAAAGCATTAAACCAGAATACCAGAATTCACCCAATCCGATTACCTGTACCACACAACATTTGAACATTTTCATGAATCCTATCCGCCCATAAACTCACCGCTGGCCTCCACGCCCTCGCAGAGCTCCTTATTTCAGGCTAACAACCAAAAACACTTTCAGAAAAAACATTGACTTAAAGCGAGTGAACTTTAAGTGTTAAAATGCGTACTAATTTGTGAGTTTTAGGATTTCTGCACCACTCTATAAAGGAACCACAGCACCGCTCAGCTAAAGGCGGCTAATTGTAGGCATAATGATGTCTAGTAGTTTCATTAACACGACATTTATAACAAATATAGGAGCTTCAGACATACACCAGGTGGGTATTGTTGTAAAAAATAGAAACCGTTAAAATCCCTTCAGTTCTTTTTCAGGCATTTTACCAAAAAATACTTGCATTTAAACATAATGCCAGATTTAATCCAATCAGATTACCTGTACCACACAACATTTGAACATTTTCACAAATCCTATCCGCCCATTCACTCACCGCTGGCCTCCACGCCCTCGCACAGCTCCGTCTTCACCTCTCCGTTGGGCCGCTCGTGTGCCAGGTGCGACAGTTTGCTGGTCATGGTGGCGGCGGTGACGATGGCCTTGAAGCTGCGTTTGCGTTTCGGGACGTTCTGCTCGGGGTGGAGGATGATGATGTAGACCTTCGGCATGTAGAGCATTCCCAGAGAGACGGAGGCGCTGAGGCTGAGCGACACCGTCAGCGTGGCCGTCTGGATGTACATCTGAGGAGGAACCAGAGGATCAGAATCAGGTTGATCACCAGGTAGGTTGACACGTACGAGGAATTTGACTTGGTGTCGTGGTGCTTACATAAAAGTCAAGGGATCAAGGCTGCCATCTTTCATTCTTCTTTTGAACATATTTACTGTAATTTCTTTACAGCCAAATTATATTCAAATGATAAAAGGAGATGCTAGGACAACCCAAAACATTAAAAGTGCTAAAAACTGAATCCTTTCCCAGTGGCATAAAGTTGTTGTTGGCTCATCCAAAGCTTTATAAAGTTAGCGATTAAAAAAAGTTAAAAAAACACAATAGCCACTTCTAGAATAACACACACTTATTATTGAATCTTTATGTGGAGCTAAGTTTTATTACTTCTAGCTCTTGGGATCAAGTACCTCTGATAGTAACCTACAATAATCCATCATGACTTTTTTTTGTAATGTACTTCGTGTTCAAAATCTCAATCTGTAGAGTCAATAAAGTGGTTAAATTACGTGTAGTCAAAGCGTAAAAAGTGCATTATTGACATCTGAGATGTCGTGCTCAACGATGACTTTTTTCGGTCATGTCTCTTCTAGACATCATACGGAAGTAAATCTGGCTTGCTGATAATAATGTTTGTATAACATAAGCACTCTAATAACTAATACTGGCCAATTATATTTTACTTTAATTTAGTTTTCGGCCAATAGTTGTTATAGACTATATGGAAAGAAAATACTCACAAATACTCATAAAAATTGTCAAAAAAAATAGAAAGTAGAAAGAAAATACTCTCAATTACTCAAAAAATTCACAAACAGGACAGAGCAACACTTTGTGTGAGTATTTATTTTTTACAAGAAAATGACATATGAATCGCGTGTCTGGTATTAATGGTTGGACGCCATCTTTAACAATCATCTGCATTAGTTGAGAATTTGGAACCGCCTTTTTTCATGTCTTTTTTGCACATGAAAGACAGAACTAACACACATACAACAAATCACCTTATCTGAAAGTACTGCAGTAAGTTTTTCATGCACACCGACTTTACAATGCTTTCCCAGTAGTCTGTTGGGCAACAGTTGTTATGGTAACGTGCTAAGAATCACAACAATGGGACAATAAATGTGAACATTGCAAATGGAAATGAAAGTAATAAATGTTTTCTGAGGAAAGAAACACATTCAACGTGTTTATAAGACCTCAAGGACACACGGCATGTAAACAGAACGGTTTATAAGAAGACTGCACTGGAAGTTTTTAATATGTTTCCGTGAACTCGACTGAATTTGTGCACTTAATGTGATGTTTGCCTAAATCACTAATTCAAGTGTAACAATCATTCAGGCACTCAAACACAAAAACATTTCCCTAAAAACCTGATTACTAATCAGTGTGTATACAGTTATAGAGCCCTGAAGGCGCCATTGTGGGAACAAATACAAACTGTTTGCTTGTATATGCTCCTGGATTAATAAATTTAGATGAAGACTGAAATGCATTAAAAGATGTTTAGTACACCTTGGGTTTTGGGGGTTTTGGTCAAACATTACTACATTTAATATTCAAAAAGCTCTTTATTTTTCTCATACAGCCTGTGCTGCAGCACCTCTTTTCACCCTCTGTCTGAAACCAGAGCCCAGTCTGCTCTGATTGGTTAGCTGGCCGGCTCTGCTGTGATTGGTCAACCGCTTAGAGATGTCCCGCCCCTTAGCCTATCACGTACGATGTGTTGAAGCGCTAGCCAATAGGAGCAAGAGTGTTCCATAGTGATGTCACTATATTCCGGAAGTAAACAAGTTTCCTAACCCTAAATTACACACTACAGGAAAATAAAAACACTAAAAACAGAATAGGGCCCCTTTAACTTTTGAAATGTCTAATGTACCTTCAATAGTCTGACTGCATCTTTGTAACTGACTGAAGTAGAAACAAAAATGCTGCTTACATATTCAAACTAATACATTTTTATTTAACTTCTCTCAGTTTTTGCCAAATTCCATTTATCTTCAAATGAACGACAACATGCATTCATTTGTTGGCTCAAAATACTTCTGAGGAAAAGCATTACATGTAAATATATTCAGTTCTTTTTGAATGGAAGAACACTTTTCACTTCACTACCTGCAGAAAAACCTGATGATCTGAACAAGATGAATGACCCTAATGATGGTGTGTTCTCTGCAGGAATAATTCCACAAGTTTTCATTAAGAGAAACAGATGGTCCGCTGCTCGCTTCATTTACTGGGATCCATCTCGTGGCTCGTGTTTGCGGCTGATAATTCCGTCTCCTCTGGAAGATTCTTTGGCAGAAAAACGCTCGTCTTTGAGTGCTGGGAAAGTCAAAGTGGTGAATGACAGGCGGACGTGTTTGGGTCTGTTTCCACGACAGCCTGTTATTTGTTACCATCTAATGAAACTCAAATCTTCCTGCATATTTTTCGCATTAATTTAGGATAAAAAAAAAAAAAAAGCTTTTTGATCTCCAGACAGGAAATTCAGGTTGTTTCAGGAGCACAAACACAGACATATTTTAGATAAATAGAGAATTACGGAAGAGGTTTAGGGCCTCGTGAAATGTATTTTGATTTCTCCCCAATACCGATTTCTCTGTTGTTTGTTTTCAGAATGTCAGAATGTCAGAAAAAACTAAATTGAGTAAAAATAATCCGGCCTTTTTCTGATTTTGTTCTCACTTTATTGTAGGAATTTTGGAGATTCAAGCCAGAATTTTTTCATAATTCTCACAACGAAAAAACGAATTCCCATGTGGCTTTAATCCTCCTCCAGAAGGAGTAAACAATGAAACTAAGAAAAGATTCAAGGAAACAACGGACATTAGACAGAAATTGCTGGTTAAGTTATTATGGTATGTTCTCCTTAGTAACGGTCTGTTCTCCTTAGCAACTGTCTGTTCTCCTTAACAACGGTATGTTCTCCTTAGCATTAGTCTGTTTTCCTTAGCAACTGTCTGTTATCCTTAGAAATGGTCTGTTATCCTTAGAAACGGTCTGTTATCCTTAGAAACGGTCTGTTCTCCTTAACAACGGTCTGCTCTCCTTAACAACGGTCTGTTCTCCTTAGCATCAGACTGTTCTCCTTAGCAACGGTCTGTTCTCCGTAGCAACGGTCTGTTCTCCTTAGCAACGGTCTCATCTCCTTAGCAACACTGTTAGAATTAACAAACTCTGCAAGGTCAAAGTTGACCAATCAGAATTGAGTACTCAACTGATCCGTATATAAATGACTTGACAGCATTTGAGAGTTACTAAAGTGTTTTCAAACTGTTTTATGTGTTTTTAACTAAAGTTCTGGTTCCGTCTGCAGCCCCATGAATAATACATGAATACATGAATATTACATACTAGGAAAGAAAAATCGAATAAAGATGCCTCACTCACTCTCAGCATTACCTGTCGCCGTATGGATGTTTACAATATTTCACTGTTATACTGCTGTTACATTATGTGTGCAGCAGGATCATCAATATCTCCTGATAATCTCCGCTTTCAAACGGGATCAACAGAGATGTTCTCTCCTTATCACAGTTTGACAGATGACCTTGAATGCGTCATTAGCCTTCGGGCTGCGTTTATGATCCAACAGAGACTATTGATTCTCCGTGTTGTTGTCTTTATCTGCAGAATGACTCAGACACAAGATCACACTTAACGTGAACCACTTTATCTGGATTACTATCAAATATAACAAAGTACATTTTCTTAACTACTGTGCTTAAGTACATTTTGAGGTACCTGTATTTAACATTACTCTCGAACACTCACACTTCTATTGGCTAGCGCTCCAACACATTGTACGTGATAGGATAAGGGGCATGACATCTGTAATCATTTGACCAATCACAACAGAGCCGGCCAGCTAACCATGCAGAGCATACTGGGCTCTGGTTTCAGACAGAGGGGGAAAAGGGGTAACTCATTCAAAATAAATAACGTCAATTAGGGAAAATGCAAACCGCGCCAGGTTAAGTTAGCACATCAAAAGTCTAAAATAACTGAACAGTTGCTTTAAAGAGAGGAGGGGGGGAATGATTGAGTCATTCACTGTAAATATTGATTAGTGTTTTTCTGTGAAATTTCCAATATCATTTTCAAGTTTAATCCATCAATAGATCCAAAGGGAGATGCATCCTCACCCATGTTGATATTTTTGGTAAAACGCAGAGAGCATCTGTGTGCTTTCAGCTGTTGCAGGAAACATTAAAGTGTCGTTTGGATTCTCTCTCGTCAACAGCGCTGATGCTCATAAAACTTGTGTTGGTGAGCGGCAGGAAGTAAAAAAATCCCAGAATATACACACACACTAACCATATGCATCTTGTAGTTTTATAGCGAGGACCAAGTAAAGAGCACCACAACATATTCTCACTCTTGCCACATAGTTAGGACTCGAGCACGTTTTTAACCAACAAACACATATACACAATCACTTACACTACATATACACAGACACTATTGTACTTGCTGTATAGCTAAGGCCAAGTAAAAAGACCCACAACATTTTCTAAGTCACAAAGTGAGGACCGTTGCAAGTTATTAAACCAATAAACACTCACACATGGACACACACTTGTACTTGCAGCATGGTCTGGACAGAGTAAAAACACCCACAAATGTTTTTGCAATCAACACACATACACACATATTCTCGTACTTAAGGCAATGTGAGGACCGAGTCAGATAAACCACAAAATGTACACACACACACACACACACACACACACACACACACACACACACACACACACACACACACACACACACACACACACACACACACTCTCTCAAATATTTCGTTTCCTCTCCTCGCCCCTCCAGCATCTGTCACCACACACACCTGTGCACACGCTCACTGTCCCAGCATGCAACACTGCCCACCACAACTGCTCGGAGACCACCTGCGTCACCATGGCAACCGCCTCACATGAAGTCGAGGGGCCCAGGTTAATGGCCCCGTGACGATGAGTGTCGAAGTGACGTCGGGGAATCC